GTGAGCGATATCAGGCAATCAGAGAGCGAGCTCAGTGGTTGGTCGGGTATCGCTATGGCTGTGGCTGTGGCGTTTGTTATGTGGCATACGTTTGACCGTCCAACGGTCTAATGGAGTTCGACTCAATGTATCGTCCAAAGAAGCGGTACTCTTTGGGTGGCGGATGTTCTCTGCTCCATACAATAACAATCCTATTAAGGGGTTGCCCGTTCTTGTAGATTCTCCGAGCTTTAAAAACACCCGGATGTAGTGCTTCTTCTGCGGCGGCCTCTTTCGGAAACCTGGTAACCAGGCATTCCCCGTATTTTTTGCTTCTTGGCCGCTAGTCGTCCTTGTTCTGAAGAGAGATTCCTACGATGGTGCCATTTACCATGAGGTCCACATATTTTTTTTGTTCTCGGTTTACATAGATGTAGTGAGAGGTTGTCCATCTCTACTGCACCATGTCTAATGGACCTTCCTCTTGGAGGGCCGGCAACCGGCAGACCCTCCCTCATCCAGCTGATTTTGTCTATAGCTGATGTGTCCTCCGGAAAGGCCAGTCTAATGTACCTTTCACGGGGGCGATGGGTTCACGTTTTTTTGTCTTTACTCCTCTTCTGAACGAGTTGGAATCCCTCGTCTTTCACATCGGGGTCGACAGGTGAATCCACACCGTTCATTTCCCTATGTTCAGTGAGATCAATCCCCCCCATTGGGAGGGAGGATAAGGGAGTGATAGATGGCAATGCGGGGACCCCAAGCACGTCCCCCTCCCCCTCCATGACGGGACAGCGAGGAGGTGGTTGTCCACTTCTACGGTGATTAATTCCCTGCGGTCGGGCGCGGGGAGGGTGCGAGCGCCAAGTCAAGTGCTGTCACACATACACTCACCAGGGCTCGTCAACGGTCGTCCGTACAGCACCCTGTTACCCTGGCACTACACTCGGTATTCGTAACTTTTACTAAACAGTTTTTTTCTAGATACCTTGACCATAGTATCTGACACAATTTGAGTATACACCCACACACACCACACACAGTCTGGTTATAAGACCACAGGAGGAATCCTGGTGACGTCATGCCTTGGTGTTACTAGGCTTTAGCTTACATGTATGTGTGAGACATTACTTTTGTTTCCCCAAGACTGTTCATAGA